TAGTGCTTACAAATATGTTCTATCACAGGATTAATTATATTAATTATATATTAATTATATTCATATATTAATTCATATATTTAATATAATTAATATATTAACTATATTAAGCTACAGGGACAAAACTTATGTTTATGCTTTAAAATAAAACTGAGTGATACCTGTAAAGATGTACATTTATGTTTTTTCATCTATACTTCCGACCTAATATATGCCTTCTTCCTATAGCCCCCAGGACCATCCAAACCAAATATTTTCCTGTTCTTCCCATTATTCTCTTCCTGCCCTAATTTTTCCCAATATAATTCTGTTTAATTGATTAACTGATCTTACTAAATGATTAATTAATTTTTACAATTATTTATCATTATTATAGAGTACTATAGACTAGTGGTTATTGATTAGTTTGGTTAACTATTTTGAATATTAGTATGATTAATATGTTTAGTGCAAATTAATGATTAGGACAATTAATTGACTAGTGTGTTTATTGATTAGTGTAATTAATTATTAGGGTGATTATTGATTAGTTAAATTAATTGACTAGTGTGATTAGTATAATAGACTGTTTGGCACGATATTACTTTATTGATTACCATAATACCTTGTTTGATTGAATAACCTAATCAACAAACCATCTCAACAAACCCAGCATGCCAGGAAAACAATCCAATGTCAAACCTCAACCTAAACCTAAAAAGAAAAAAACCCCTACTGAACAACCACAATACTCTTGCTCTTGCCTTATTTGTAAGGAATCTTTAAAGGAGAATGAAGATTACATCAAATGTTCTCTTTGTAAGAACTACGCTCACCATAATTGCTTAGGCTCTATTCCTAAAACATCCGCCAATGCTTTTCTATATTTCTGTCTACCATGCAGACCCAAACTAGAAAAATACATTACCCTGTTTGAAAGAGTCGATACCATTGAAACATGTATAACATCCCTTGACACCATTGTAGCATCTCTGGACAATATACAAACTAGATTGGCAAACCTTGAAAAAAAAGAGACAACACTAAAAAACGAACATCAAACATCTACAAACCATATCTCGACTCAACAACTGCAACCAAAACCCAATCCACAAAAAACAACAAATCCTACAAATACTGATATCCCCATCCTCATCAAAGAAGCCATTGAGTGTGAACGGAAGCGACCAAATGCCATCTTATTTGATCAAGAGGTCAATGACAATGATGACATCTCTAACGTTCAAAACATCATCAGAGAAAATCAAGTATTAACCATCTCCCCTGAAGAAATACTAGATATTTCCCATGTCGGTCCTGAGCTTAAAAACAAAGATGGCTTGATGATCCCACGCCTCTGAAGGGTTGTTTGCAAAAATGAAACAAGCAAACGCAAATTCATTTTCTCAATAAATTCACTCGCAAAGAGCAACAACAGCCTTAAGAACCTTTGTTCTCACCCTGATCTAACCTTACAGCAACATGTACAATCCCGGGAGCTTTTGAGTTCTGAGCTCAAAAGATTACATTAATTAGGTAATACAAATATATACATTGATTACTGTGCTGACTGTATCAAAAACAAGAGCCACAATTGATGTCACAATATCCATCACCCAAACATCCAACATTAGAGATGCATGCCCCTTACTTCCTCCAGACCCACTACTTTATATCTTAAATGCAAACTACTTAATGCAAGAAGCCTCACAATAAAATGTAAGAATTCCTCATCCTTCTAAGTTCAGCCACATTTGACATTGTATTTGTCTGTGAGATGTGGTTAAATGCATCTTTCCCAGACTCCATTACCACTACAAGAGAATATCAAGTTTTTCGGTCAGAACGCGAAATCCATAGAGGTGGTGGAGTTGCTATATTCTATAAAAAGTCTCTAAATCTAAAAAAGATCCAAATTATACAAGAACTTGCTCTTCCCGAGATCATCATCTGTAAACTGTCCTTAAACACCTCAATCCGTTTCTTACTTTGCTATTGAGCCCCTGAATATGATATAATTCATACAAAGAAGCTAACTTCAATAGTGACATCGGCTGCCTCCTGCTCACACCCTCTCATTTTTCTTGGTGATCTCAACTTATCTCTTATAAATTGGACACTAAATGAATGTACATCTGTACCCATACATACAACCCTGTACAATGCCATTATCACACTAGGACTGGAAGAATTAGTAACCAACAATACTAGGCTTAATGACTGCCTTGATCTCATCTTCTGCAATAGTTTGAATTCAATTTATGGAACACAAATTAAAGAACCCTTTTCCAACAGTGACCTCAATGTACGCCCACACAAAAATCATCATAACAATGAGATCCCCAATTATAACTTCGAAAAAGGCAACTATGATCTTATAGATAACAATCTCATCTCTTGACTGGCAATTTCTATTCACTGAAGGCAATACTGTTGAAGACCATTACAACATATTTTTACTTGAGGTCAAAAGAGTCATCAAACTATATGTACCAATAACAACTCCCAAAACCAGAATAAACAGATTACCCATAACAATAAGGAAACTTCAATCCAAAAAGAGATAACTTTGGCAGAAAAATAAATCTGGTCACGTTGCCAACTTCAAAAGTGGATACAAAAATTTATGCCACCAGATAAAGACTGAATGCACCAATTATCACATTAAACAAGAGGAAAAACTTCTACGCACCAATTCCGCCCACGCTTTCTACAATTTTGTAAACAAACTAAAAGACTTAGGCTCCATCCCACTCCTGAAAGGACCAAATAGTAAAGACTGCAATGACGACACTATTAAAGCCAACCTCTTTAACACATTCTTTGGCTCAGTATTTGTAAACAGCAATGGATCATGCCCAGTATTTCCTAGTCAAACCACAGACAACTACAATGATCTAATACATATAGATTTTACAGAAGACAATGTTGAAAAAGCACTATGCAATCTAAAACCATCTCTATCCATAGGACCAGATAGAATATGTGCCTACTTCTTAAAAAAGCTATCCACTGCCATAGCTGAACCTCTAAGCATAATCTTTGGAAAAATTTTTCAGGACCAGCTCCTTGCCAAACCAATGGTCACTAGCCACGGTCATCCCCATCTTCAAAAAGGGAGACCCCAGTCTAATTGAAAATTACAGACCAATCTCTTTAGGCTGCGTCACCTGTCAAGTCATGGAATCAATTATTAACCAATCCATTATCCTCCACTTAGAGACAACAACCTACTCTCTAATAAACAATTTGGTTTCAGAAAAAAACTATCCTGTAATCTGCAACTCTTACACTGCAAAAACATATGGACTACACAACTTGATCAGGGCAAAGCAATAGATGCAATTTACATAGACTTCTGTAAAGCCTTTGATTCAGTGGTACACGACAAACTACTCCTAAAACTAAAATCTTATGGTATCTCTGGACACCTGCATAACTGGATAGAAGCATTCCTGTCAAACAGACAACAAATGGTCAAAATTGGGAGCGCCCTATCAAATTCTGTACCTGTCAACAGTGGTGTCTCCCAAGGCAGTGTTCTAGGACCAACTCTCTTCATATTCTACATAAATGACCTCTGGGATCATATTAAGAGCAACTGTGTTCTCTTCACAGATGATGTAAAGCTATTCAATACCACTGACAATACTGCTACCCTTCAAAAAAACCTCAACTATGTATCAGAATGGTCAAACAAATGGCAACTTCAAATCTCAACTAATAAATTCTCTGTCTTACATATTGGCAAAAAAATAAATCAGAAAATAAAATATAAGGTGAATAGTCAAGACCTTGTTGATGATCGAAACTCTGTCAAGGACCTTGGAATACTCATCTCTAATGATCTAAGTGCAAGAGCCCACTGTAACTACATAGCCAAAAAGGCATTAAGAGTTGTTAACCTAATCTTGCGTAGCTTTTTCTCTGGTAATATCACATTACTAACTAGACCATACAAAACATTTGCTAGACCAATACTTGAATACAGTTCATCAATCTGGAACCCACATTACATATCTGATATTAATACAGTTGAGAAAATCCAGAAATATTTCACAAGAAGAGTGAACTCCACTCCTCTACTCATTGCAGAATACCTTATGTCACCAGACTTGAAATTCTAGACCTAGAAAACCTAGAACTACGCAGCCTTCGGTCCGATCTAAGTATAGTACACAAAATTATATCTTGCAATGTCCTATCTGTCAATGAATACTTCAGCTTCAACCATAACAATACAAGAGCACAGAACAGATACAAAATCAAGGTAAACCGCACCAAACTTGATTGCAGGAAATACGATTTCAGCAACAGAGTGGTCAATGTCTGGAATACTCTACCTGACTCTGTGGTTTCTTCCCCAAACCCCAAAAACTTTAACCTTAGACTGTTGATCTCATCCCTTTCCTAAGAGGTCTGTAGGGGGCTTGCATAAGCGCACCAATGTGTCTACCATCCCTGTCCTATTGTTTCTTTTTATTTTTCTTATATGTATCCATTTCATGTATTCATAACTATGTTTATACTTATACCTGTTATCTTATAATCGCTTGACAAAATAAATAAATAAATAAATAAATAAACAAACAAACATTTATGTTTTCTTCTCCCAATCCATTACTCATCTCAGAAACTGAAAAGGCAGAATCAATAGCATTTTAGTCACATGTTCAAGAAATGTGTGCCCTTTCATTCTACAACTGTCATTCTAGGACTATGCTATGTTGCAAGGCCATGGTGTGTGCGTATGTGTATGGACATGTGTTAGAGAGGGCATGATGATTTTACCTGGATGATGCTGAAATGATTAGCCTCCATTTTAGGAAAAGGACAGAATTTGCACTTAACAGACTTATTTTAGGCCTTAGTGTGAGGTATTGTGCTGTTGAAAATTATTATTTTGGTAGCGTATTGCAAGACTTCTGTGAGATGAGTTATAGCTTGTCTTTACTATATTCAGTTGTTATGTGCGACACAGAATAATGTAACCTCTGCTGACTATAATGAACAAATCTTACCAACAGACAATCTTGAAGGACTGGCTTCTCTGCTGCATCCTTGGCTTCGAGGAATCTTGCTCCGTTTTTGTGCTGTTGCAGGGCTGACTACTACTCTCTGAACACCTGTATTCATAGTTGAAAGTGTAGTTGTAGTCAAAACTCTTCCAGGAGAACCAGAACGGCTTCCAGCTGAAGGCAAAGAAAACACATGTTACAATTCTATTATTATAACAAGTTCTGAATTTTCTGGAAGAATTTGAAGAAACTGTTTATAACCTAGAAAAGTGTATTATGTGATATCTAGTCAGCAGGTATTATCAATTCATGTCCAAAAAATCATGTAATTGTTTTGCTTTTTAACATGAAATTATTTGTTTTATCCCCAAAAGTATTAGGAAAATCTAGTATAAATGTCATTACCAGCTACTATTTTCAGGACTCAGATACATTTGAAATAAAATAGATCTAACATAATTTACATAACTTGTTGGGTGCCATTATTTTCCTTATATTCCACTTTTGAATATAAGTTTACCACTATTCAATCAGTTCTGAAAGTGTTGAAATGAGTAAAAAGCTTCCAAATTCCTGTGAGGTGAAGTAGATTAGCAAGAAAACACGTATTTAGAAAAACTAATTCCTGAGTTATACACAAATATTTATGTATTTATGATTTTATTTTTACCAAAGCTGTTGACCAGAACTCTGTAATAATCAATAATTTCACAAAATCTACTATAATGTAGGCAATGTATTTTTATTTTTGGATCCTTATAGGTTTCCAATGTTGTAAAGTAAAATCTTCTAGGCAAATTAGCCATGTCTTTTCACCATAATCGTAAAATTAAATAAAAGCAACTTCATGAATGTAATTTATAAGGAACTTGATAGAAAATTTCAAAAACAATGTCTAAGAACAAGCTTGAGATGGAATGTTCTTCTAGCTAGGGATTTATGAGCAATTTCAAGGAGTGTTTAACTATTGTAATTTGGAAATGAAGCAGCAATCCTGAATACATATCTTCCTAAAGATTCACCACTTCCTAAAGATTCAGCGGGCATTGTAGCAGAACATGTGACTGTGAATGTAGATGCAGATCTAGCAGCAAGCAAACCCTCTGATTAAAAATACATCAAATACACATTTTTATCACCCTAGTTACAACTTCCTGTGAAAAACTTTTAAAATACCATCTTGAGGAATATGTGCAGAATATGATCAAGACTTCACCAATTTAAAGATGGTCCAATAAAACTTCACCAATCTCTCTCTCTCTCTCTCTCTCTCTCTCTCTCTCCCTCCCTCCCTCTCTCTTGTGTATATATGTATATAGGTATGTGTGTACACACACAGGCACACAAAATTTCATTGTACATCATAACAGTAAGAAATGACTGGAATAAGCCCCATGAAAGATTATGATGCAAAACAGTGCTCCATGCAAATATTATGTGATCATTATTTATGCAGTGGCATAATATAGTAATACAACAGCAATTCCCAAACTATACACATTTTCATGCTTATATGTGATTTATGAAATTAAACAAAAGGCTCTAATGTTGCAACAAAAACAGCAATCAATTTTGGATCTACTAGTAAATATTTGCAATTTTGTAGTACTGTAGATCAACAAAAATTGTAAAGTTTCAACATAATTAACTTATTTGTCAAAATTATTCTGCTACATTTAAAATATTTCTGAATAAATGACAAATGTTTTTTACCAGGGCTCATTTGGTAGTCCTGAAAGTTTTAGTGTAAAACAAAGCAGATACACAAGAAAGATAAATCCTAACTGAACTGAACCAAATGAAGACAACAGTATTTCTTTATCTCTGAAAGAAGACAAAATAAGTACATTTAAACATCCCTATTGCTTCACTAAATAACCCTTACTGTCTAAAAAAACATTGGGATTTTGCTAATTTTTGTTTCAGAAACAGGAATATAGTTCAGTGTTCAGAAGTTTGGGAAATACTGAATATATGCTCTTTTTATATAGGAGTCTATGCAGCAGAAAAATTATATATATCAAACCAGATGTAAGAGTGTATACTCTGTAGACCTTTTAAAAATTCATTAAAAACTGATCAGGGAATTAGGACAACATTCACATAATTTGACGAATGCAAACCTATTTCTATTTCCCTAGATTAAATCATTAAATCATGATATTTCTAAGCACACAGGATAATGAGGGTTGTAAAAAACAACTGTAAATTGATCAAATCAATTTGTTTCTTTTCAAAAAATATGTAACATCTTTTACCAAGCCTGCAATTGTGCACCAACTATATATATTTAAAAATACTACTTATTTCAAATTATTTATTTGAAGATTTGTAAGAACACCATGCAGACCATAAACTGAATCTTCACACATAAAGCATGTTTGATTGAAATATGTGACAATATTTTTATCCTTGATTAGAATAATTGAAAAAAACTTGCACAGCATCACAAATGTATCTCTAATCCCTCCTATTGAGCTGTTCTCAGTATGGTTTTGATTCTTCATATATGATTACTATTTTTGGGCCTTCTTGAATACCCAAATACATAGTGTTTCTGCTGAATAGGGTCCTGCAATAGATGGTCAAACAAGAATGCACGCATAACATCTAAAAAACCTTACCACCAAACTGTGGATTAGCAGACTGTGATCCTGAACATGTGTAAAGGCAGGAATAGGGCAAGGATTTAAAATCCATGAAGAGGAGGGAGCAGAATAGGTTAATAATGAATGGTGAATGGAAATAAAAAGCTTTAGTCAGTTCATATAAAAAGCTGGAAATGCCACAAGGTTGGGGCTAAAAGCAGTGCATTTAAGTAGCTTCCACCAGGCTCAGATGCGGTATAATTGCAGTTTTTCAGCTCTTGAACAAAAGACCGTAAAGCAATGAATTTAACTGAATTGTCACATCAAATTGTTGAAAGCTCTAACGAAAGTGTAAGTGAATGTCTAGTAGATACAAAAAATATTATTATATTTTTCATTCTATAGAATCCAATGAAAGGAAATGAAAGTGAAGGAGGGATAATGTACAAGAATTCCATATCTGACATGCAAAAGTGAAGAAGTACCTAAACATGGCTGTCCAATTTTTTAAAGATCTACCTGCACTTGTGGAATCATTATTCTGCATTTTAAATATAATGACAGAAAAAATAATTATGCTTTCATATTGTTTTCTTATGCTCTTAATTAAAACTGCTGTACAAGACTATGCATATGCAGGCTAATTCCATAATTACTAGTATATACCCCCAAGACTCTGACCACTGTCTGAAGTAAATATTCTGGCATTAATAAAAGATACGTGAATTGTGCCATAATTAATGCAAATATGCAGAGAGGATGATGGCAAGAGTAAAGATTTGCTAGTCTTAGGGATATTTATTTGATTATATCGATTAAGTAATCTCCATATTGGGTAATGAATTTGTTTGATTTCATTAAGAAGCTGTGGTGTGCTAGATTTATTGTTAAAAGAGAAACAACTTAGCAAAAATCTACCACCTGGACAGAATAATCAATGATCAAGAAGTGATCATTTGTGGAATTGCTTTAATTTAGATTTCTGCACCAAACAAGGAGTAAAAAGCTTCTTTAAATGAATGCTGAAAATATGCACCCAATCCTTTTCCTTTTCTGATAAAAACAGCTGAGTCTTTGAACCAGCTTCTTCTACATAAACTCAACATAAGCTTTCTTCTTTCAAATTTCAACACAAGCTTAAATGTTTGGAATGTTTCCAATCAGGAAAGGTTTCAGGATAATTTAGAGAAAAATAGCTGCTGAAACTGCATGCACATTTTCATACATTAGCTATAGTACAAAAACATTTGATTACCACATTAATTATTTATTAATTCAATTAAATATTTTAAAATAAGAATAGAAATCTGAACTGCTTGAATATCAAAATAATGTTGTTTTACCTTATTTATTTATTACATATATTACCCTTGGCAGGATTCATTAAGGTTTTTAACTTTATACAAAGATAAAGTTATTAAAATATTCACATTATAATATTAATCAATTAAATGAAAAATTTTAAAAAATGCTTATAATCAAATACATAAAAACCAGCTAAAAAGGGAACAAAAAAAGTATAAATAAGTAAATGGCAACAATCACAATTCAAATGTTCCTTTCATGTAGCCCTCATTTAGTGACTGATTCATTTAGCTGCTTCTCATAGTTAGAACAGTGATGAAAAAGGACTTTTAATCCTTGCATTTGCTACTTTTGCAGGTCTGTAAAGCAAAGGAAAATTCAAAGAAAGTAAGATCATATGTACAGTTCACAGTTTCACTTAACAATTACTTTGCTTAACAACTGAGTAGCCAGCCCAATTGTGGTTGCTAAGTGAAAACTACCTCGTATTTGTTTTAAGAAGTTTATGAAAAATTAATAAAGTAGGGGCTGACTGTATTTCAGCTCCTACTTTATTAACAATTTTTCTATTGCTTGTTTATTTGTTTGCAAAAGGAGTGACCACAAAATATTCTCCTTAAACTGAGTGTTTTTGTATGTTTTGTTTTTTGTTCCTTTGTTTTATACTTTTAACCAAAGGTAACTTGCTCAGAATTGCTAGTGCAAGTTGGGTATCCAATAAGTAAATAAATCCATGCTGGGAGAGGCTGTATTGATTGCATAAATTAGTGCCTTAGATAATTCAAAGTCAAACCAAATCAAAATTAGCACTTTTAGATTATCTATGTTGGTGTGAGTCAGCAAGCAACTGGACTGCAACCTTTAAGATTAGTTTCCAGGTGATTTTCAAAAGAAGTACAAAGTGCCCAGCAATAATCCAAGCAAATGATCATGTGTTCCAAATAAGGCTGAACTGGCACCACAAATCTTTGCAAAGAACCATCACCCACAGTGTGAACCTGCCTTTCTAGCAACAATTATAAATCTAGGACTCCTAGCCATGATTCTGCTCCTTTAGGGATAGTGTTGGTTCATCAACAGACACTATAAGAGACATTAGACATCTATGATGGATAAACAATAATATTAGACATTCATGGATAAATAATTACTGTCTCTTATGGTTTCAACTTTAGCCTGTTTTATCTCACTTTGACTCTCATAACCTGTAGACCCTGTGTCAAAACCTGGACCTGGATCTCAAACTGATGGATGATCACCCCTAGCTGTTTCAGGTAGATGTTAAAAAGTAGGGAGAGAATATTGAGCCCTTTGACACTCCATCAAGGTTTATTGCTCCTACAGCCAGTATCTGGAATTGCCTATTAAATAAGAAGTAGAATATCTCTAAAACTGTGTCTACAGCCTTCAATCCCTGCAGGCTACTCAGAAGAATACCATGACTGATGGTATTGAAGAGTTCTGAAAAACATAAAAGATCCAGAAGGAATATATTTCTTCATCCAGATTATAATGAAGGCTACCTGTAAAAGCAATCCATATTTCAGTCTCAGGCATAAGCCTGACACTTAATTGAATAAAACTGAATCTGCTCCTTAAACATGCTCTATAGCAAATTATGGGATCTCCATAATCTTTCCCCAAAAGAGAAGGCTGGAGATTTGGCAAATACAAATTGTTCCAAGAAGAACTTATTATGGAAGAAGTGTACCATGCCCTTTTACAAAAGAACTTTCATTATGTTTCCCACATTATCTCCTGCACCCTGTACGATACATCAAATTCAGACCCACTAAGGAGCCACGGGGAGCAAAATCAAACCCACAAATAGAGACAACAAACAGCATTATATCCATTTCACAGGTGAGAAAGAGACCCATATAATATAGCCAGATATTGTCCAGGCCACCACCCATTCAGTCAAGATTCTGATGAATATCATTGACTTTATTGGCAATGTTTAATATTAATTGGCAGTGCTAATTGGTCCTAATTGCCAGATTTACTTGTTGCCCTTTCCTAACAGAAGCTAGGTCCTCTAAACAAGCCTAATGATGCAATATTGGAGAAGGATGTTTCATCTCCCTTACTCGTGAAATGGTGTAAGTTTGAAATTGAGCTCATACCCACATTTATTCAGATTTGTTTTGCTGTTCTACTTCTGGAAGAAAAAATCTGCAATTAACCAACAGACAGGCTGCTGGGGACAATCATATCAAGTGCTTGGTTGCTGTTTATTATCAAATATAAAGGAGTTTTGGGGTTTTCTGGAAAAGTGCCCAGCACTTGCAGGAAATCAGTTGAATATAGCTATGAGAGATCTGGGATGACCATCTGAAATAGTCTGTTTGCTCTATAGAGATCCTCAAAGTCTTAGGAACTGTTCGATGATGGTGGAAACATTCTCCATATTCTGATCACAAATATCTGCTTAAGCATGGCCCCACTTACAAGTATTGAATCACAATATGCATTAGTTCTTGAGCTTTACTAGAGATGATCCTTACAGAATAAAAATAAAAATTGCCCCACAACAGAAGACAAGGGAATTTCAAGACGATCCTCAAAGAGGAATTCTATCAGGTAGCAATGTGGTTGGTATATCAGCAATTTACCCAGCTTGTCTTTGCAGCCTAACATCTAAGCCTTTAGTTGACTATCTATGGGATATAATATTTGGGCACATATCAATAAAAAAATATTACAACATAATTATGCTAGACTTTTACATTGTCTTTTTATTAGAGTAAGAATTAGGTTATCTGAATACACACACATACACAAACACTCACTCACTCTGGAATTGCCATTTTATATGTAAGAAACAAGGAGCAATAATCAGTTACAGCTACTTGACAAAGATATATGTACTTGAAAAATATACTTGTATATACATTTGAAATGTAAATTTAGACCCCTATGAATGATGTAAAGCAGGTGAGTCAAACTCATGGCCCAAAGGCTGGATGTGTCACGCTCTGGCTACCCCCACCCCTAGTTTAGCGAAGGGGGAAAAAGTCACGATACGTCACCTGACGTGACGCTGTGAGTTTCACACTCCTGATGTTAGCCAAAAAGTCATGAATTTATAGGCATGAAAATAATGATATGTACAGTGAACTTTAGACTATATGCAGTATTTAAAATCCATTGCTGCTGAAGTGATTTAATTTGTCAAAACATTTAATTTCAGTATCAAAATATGAAACTCTGCAGGAAAAAAACCCCAGAATGTTTATCTCCACTATAGTTATTTACTAATATGTATAGGGCAGACTTTTGCAGTAGTTTTTTTCTGTACTATTACTGCAAACAGAAAATAAATACATCCACTGCACATCTTTTAGAATATGCAATATTGTTTATGATACTATAATAAGGAAGAAGTGGTAAATTAGACATTGAATATAGAAACCATTCTAATAAGTCTCTTAATATTTGCCTGTGCTTGTAAATGTATTCGCCATTCATATGCAATAGTTTACAAAAGATGTTGAAAGTATACATTCTGTATTTTAGAAAATAACTTTTTCAGCAATGCTTGTACTTTCCTCAAATGTATATCAATTAGTAATATATACTTGTTTGAATAATATTGTCAAGCCTGAATTCCAATTCCAATGCTTCATTAATTTTGAAATAATGCATTCAATTCTACATAATGTAGCAACAATATACTTGGATGGAGTTTACATGATTGAATTATAATGTTTGAATTGTAGTTAATTAAAATGTTTTCAGGCATTGAAATATGATACCTATTAATTTTTTGCTCTCTTACTTTGTTTAAACCTCAAATAACTATAGGATTTCCCAATGAAGAGAGGTCCACTTTAAAAAATTCTACACTGAAAGGATTAATTTATCTTTTTCTGAAATCTTATTCAAAATAACACAACACAAAGTATAGAAGACTTCAAAAGCATGCAGGCTACTGACCCGAAACACTGAAACACTGAAAAAAAAATACCTTCATTTTTGTCTGGCGATGATGAACCTATGGCACAGAACAACAACTCAGTATGTAGTGTTTCTTAAGAAATATTTTGACCATATCCTTTAGTCAATGAATGTACAGTAGATTTATGGGTTTAAAACATTGTTGAAAGAGGCAATACATACGTTGAGACTGAGATACAACTTTTGTTCGACTCCGGCCCCTGGAATCTGTCTTTGAATTTCCTACTCCAATACAGGGTGTTGAAAGCTTGGTTCGCACACGCCCTATAAAAGAAACAAAAAAGAAAGAAGTGAAATTCATATGTATAAAAGTAATTTAGTGAATTGAGAGAGAAACAATACTACAGTGTAGTTGAAATAACGAATCAGCTCTATTACTTCTTAACTCTTAACAAATTTTACTTGCAATAATTTAATAGGTATCATTAGATAGAGCAATGTTCTTTTTTCTTATTTTAATATAATCATGCATTTCCCACTGAAATAATACAACTAGTATCTCTTAAATATATAACCATCGAATAAAATAATCTATCATATTTTAAGTACAAATTATGTACATTTATGCATCGATAGTATAATTTATTTTAAAGTAAAATAAGTATATTTTATTTTAAACAGTGTAAGATATTGTTACATATGTGCCATAAAATTGAAATGTATACTGTCTCTCATATTCAAGTTGGATAGCAATATCTACATCTATCTATATGAATATGTGTGCATGAGGTTATTCAAACGCACACACACACACAAATAAAAATATATATTCTACTATTTTTTAAAAAAATCCAAAACATTCTGAAACTATTCACAAAATTCCATTTTACTTAAGAATAGCAGGATAGATTAAAACTAACTTGAGGAGCCAACGTTTTCTTTTTCAGTTCCCAAAACTGAATTGCTCAAGTGTTTGAAACTTCTTACTGTCGTGTTTGGTTAGTATCAAAAAATTTTAAAAATCAAGAAAAGCAAATACACCAAAAAATTTCAACACTAATTTAGTTAAATAGATACCAAATCATTTAGATCTCCTACAAAAATATACTATTTCCTCAGGCACAGGAGAAAATCTTTGAGATGAGAGTCTGTATTCATTCAATTCTTGATGAAGTTATCAAATTAAGTTTCTTATACCCAATATCTATTACTAAAACACTCAAATCCATGCAATGATAGAAATTCTGCCATTCACTGTAATGTGTGTAAATGCAGATAATTTGACCTGGAATACAAAGCGCCACTATTTTGTTAAGATGTTAAATAACCAAACAATCTTTATTTTTATTTCAATAAAAGTAATCCATTCTTATTGCTCAGAATGAAGTAAGTAAAATGTCTATTGAACGATTCAGCATTATTAGATGACCATATATTTGAGAGTCAATTGTCATAATTTCAAAAATTATGAAATATATGATATGAAAACAACTTGTCCTCATCCTATGAAGAGGTTGGAGCCAAACATAGAAAAAGCACCACTTTTCTACTGATAATCTGCCATAACTGTAAGAATAAACAATAGACAGACAGACAGACAGATATAGAAAGAAAGAAAGAAAGAAAGAAAGAAAGAAAGAAAGAAAGAAAGAAAGAAAGAAAGAAAGAAAGATAGATAGATAGATAAGGGTGTTATTTGACAGTGAACATGGACTTAGGCTAAATCATAAAGCTCACCAGGTCAATCAGAAAAAAAGTGGGCTAAATGCATGAAAGACTTGTGAAAGTAACGTGAAAGAATCATGTAAACTTTAAGTAAATTAGGATAAAGTATAATTTAAATAATATTACATAATTGATTTGTATTTTGTGAATTTTACTATAATTTTAAATAAGTATCAACCAGCAAAATAGTTTGATTTATGAAGAATTTAGTATGCATTTCATTAAAAAGTAATTAAAATTTAGGTATCCCAAATTTGTTGATCATTTTGTGGATCTCATGTTAGCGCTTTAAAAATATGCTGTCATTTGACAATATTTGGTTTAAACTTCAGGCATTGAATGTTGACATCCAGTTAGGTAACCATGATGCCAAAATAAATTTCAAAGATTGAGTAAATAGTAGCACCTGTTCCCAAAAGCATGAGAATGTCCACTAGTGTGTTAAAAGTTTCATTACAAAATTTAATAGCAAAGCAAATGAAAAAGTTTGCATATTTAAAATATACCGTATTTCCCCATGTATAAGCACCCCCTTTGTATAAGCCACCCCCCCAATTTTTGGACTGTGAAGTTTTGAAAAAAATATTTTATTAGAGAAACAAGTTATGAAGAAAGAAAATTTACAAAGAAACAAAATTCGACGTCTAGATCTACAACTTCGGTCATGACGCCGAAAGCGGTGCGGGCGACGCTAGCAATCTACGCATCGGAACGAGAGTAGGAACGAAGCATTCAGGCCGATGCCTAGCGTATGCATTTCTATCGTGTACTCACACTTGTAATCGTATCATCACGTACAATTTTTACAAAAAAGTATAGCATACTGTTGGAAAACCAGTTTATTCCTACTTTATTATTTTATGCATTTTTCACGTATAAAAAGTGTACCTGCTTTGTATATGCCACCCCCCTACTTTTTGGGCTTGAAAATTTTGGAAAAAAGGGGTGGCTTATACATGGGGAAATACGGTAATGGATATTGATACATGTTATTGCCAATTTGCATTTGAAAAAAAATGCTGCAGCAACAAAGCATTATTAGCTAAGCAAATTAATACATAATCCTGAAGACCATGGTCTGTATACAGTATGGTTTATGATGATGGGAATATTATGTTAAATATATTTTCTCTTTTATTGTCTTACCATCTTCAGAAGCTGTTCCTAAATGGGAAAAATATCAAAACAATGATATTCCAAACAAAAGCTCTTTTTGTATTTGATAAGCAATAATTGTTTGGATTCCAAAATGCATATAAAATATTTAAGAATATAGTTACTCTGTGCTTTGCTATGAAATGATCCCTTAGATCCAATCAACTTTTTTGTGACATAAACCAGTGGAACAACTTGCCTTCAGAAGTTATGGGTGCTCCACCACTGGAGGCTTTTAAAAATAGCCCACTTGTCTAATAAATTTTGTGCTATACTTTTCCATCTGCTCATTTTGATCAAAATTGAATAACTGATAGTTCAGTCTTGGAAATAGTGCAATTTACCAGCAATAGATTAGTAGTTCAGTCCTGGCCAGATACTTTCTCCACGTAAGACAAGAGTGAAAAAATGAACCTGAACTACAGAAATTATGATACAATCATCCAACATGTTAAAAGTTTACACATTTAGGGACTTCCGGTTGAGGCACCACATTGAAGTGGAGCAGAGGAGCAGATCGCCGCTCTGAAAAATCCGAAGTTCTATGCCTGGTAGCTCCTAGGAGTGAGTTGGACCTTGGAGGGGTCGGCAGGGAAAAGGGGAAGGTACGGAGGTGTCAGAGAAGTGCCACAATCCCAGACACTGCAAGAAGAAGCCCCAAAAACCGGCAACAGAAGAGGGAGATTGTGATGATTGGAACCAGAGACATGGCTGCCTAGTTGTTTAAAGAGGGAAGTAAAAGGTGGAAAACAGCAAGTTGAGCGGTGGGAAAGTGCGATTAAGGAAGAGTACCAGAATATCTGACAAGAAGAGGAGAAGAATGAGGCTCTGAACCGTGTGGTGTTAACAAGTGGCGGAATTAGCAGTAGAAGTGCTAAGTGTGGATTAAGTGACTGAGCTGTATACTGAGTAACGGAACGGTAAAAGCTGAGGGGAAGAAAGATGAGATGATATAATTTTTTCCTGATTATAGATGTAGATGGAACTATAATGTATCTGTGAGTGGTGGAAAAAAAAGTGATTGTAAACAACAAGAATGGTGGAGAAGTGAAAAAAAGAGAAAACCATTACTGACTGTGTATATATAAGAAAGGACATTTTGATGTATCAGAGGAGGAAAATTGGAAGACTTTTTTTTATTTACAGACTATTGTGGCAGTGAAAGGAGGGAAGGTCTGATTTGTTTGGAACTATTGAGTGGAAAGGTTACTAGAACTTAGACTATGAAAATGGTACAGCACAATGTGCAGAAGGGAAAAAAAAGTATGACTCTGCACTTTTGAAAGAAGACATTTTGAGATATGAGTCCTCAACAGAGTAAAGAGTAAAATAAGTTTGGAAACTATCTAAATATTATTTGTAAAGTACATATTTAATAGATGTATAACTATTCTACCAGAATATTGAATAATAATTAAATTATTAAGTAATTGAAAAGAGGTTGAATAACACATGAAATAGTGCAGGGGTGGGATTCAGTTTTTTTAACAATCGGTTCTGTGGGCGTGGCTTAGTTGGTGGGTGTGGCTTGGTGGTCATGTGACTGGGCGGGCATGGCCAACTTAATATCACTCATGTCAAGGGGCGCTTCTCCTGGTCTGGCCTCTCATGACAGTGAGGATGCTGCAATGGTCTTAAGTGTGAAAAATGGTCATAAGTGACTTTTTTCAGTGCCATTGTAACTTTGAATGGTCACTAAATGAACTGTTATAAGTCAAGGATTATCTGTGCAAAAATACAAAAAGCTTCTTTGCTTGCAAAAAGCTGCCCTAAATACCAATCATTAGATTAAAAATACCTGCAAGCCAGAGTTACAAATCAGGCAGGATGCCAGAGCGCCTTGAGGAATGAAAATAGTTAAAATGCAGTTATAACTATCAAGCAGCCATCTCTTGCTCATAAAGTGAAACCCTTTAGCAGAGAGGTCATTTAAGCTCTCCAGAAAAAAAAAGCACACCCAGGAGAAGCAATCCTTAGATCCATTTGCACCACTTTAAGACAGCAGCTGGTCTCACTCACCTCACAACATATCCTAAGGAAATCATCCAGATTTAAGGAAAGGTCACATGCCCCCCAGAAAGGCAGTAAAAAAAATCAGTACCAAGCTTGCATCCTGCCTCTTGGAAGTGTACCCCAAAAGGACAGTGCCAGATAGTACTAAAGCAGTGAGGAAGACCCCCTCCCCAGATAGAAAAAGAAACCATGAGGCAGGAAAATATTCAAACACAATACAAATAATTAAATCACAACAGTAGCTGTTGCTTGTTGAAGCTGAATAGGAAATATTATCCCATCAATAAACACAGGATTAAATGTCACCAAGCACAGAATTAACCTTCACCAAAAATCAGTTTTAGACCAAAATTCAAGTTTGAATGTCAATCTTTCTAGCTAGCCAAGAAGCCTTGCTGAATGTCACTCATCTTGGTTCCGTCACTAAAAGC